ACACATTCTTTCCAATACTTCAAGATTTGTTTGAGAACCACTGGATCTTTTCTGGATTTTCTTTCTTGTAAATTTAATCTACTACCTATGTTGCCAAATTATCAAGAAATTATTTTTTTTAAATAAAAACTAAAAAAAATTGCTAAAAAATTCCAAAAATATTTTCAAAAAATTCCGAATTTTCAAAAAAAAATTATTTAGGAAAAAACCTCATAGGCGTGTTTCTGGGGTTGAACTATACTACAAGTGAAGTTAAAATACTTGCACTTATTTCTGGGACACCCTGTATATGGTTACATAGATAGTAGCGCCGCGCCGCGCCGCCTCGCGCTTATAACCTTGAAAAATTAAAGCGTGTTATCAAATCGGCTAGTTCACAGTGAAAGCAGGCAGGCACCGTCAACTAGCGTTTATCGGCGTTCCCTGCTTTTACTCGAACGAAAAATTTATTTATTTCTGTTTTTGCACGCGCCGACGGCACACACAGGGTATTAAGAACTAAAAGTTGGCCAAAATTATGTTTTATGATTTTTGCCTTTTGCTAGTAATATTAATTATTAATTAGAGGAGAGGTTGCTAATTACGGAACCCCATTTGTTTTTCCTACACAATATTTTTCCTTCTACTCTGAAACCCTTTCCACCGATCAAATAGGGGCCATTCTGTGCAAAACCAAGCAATTGGATGAGGATGCTAGAACAAAAAGTAATTTGTATATTATAGACGATATTTGAGCGAGGGGATGGTGTGTTAATAGGGTAAAGACTATTTCCTTTAAGAATCTATTTAAATCAATGTTTTTTGGCAGTGGCAAATATTGGCAAGATTTTTGTGCATATTCCAATGCTGGAGACTTTAAGCATCGAACGGATACTAATTTCCATGGAATATTGCCGAATAGTCTTACACCTTATAAAATGCGCTACTGATTTTTAAATATATAACATTATAAAAAATAGAATAGAAGGAAACGTTTCAAAATAAAAATGTAAGCACTCTAAAACAGAACAGAGCAAACCAGACAAAGCTGGCTCTGTATCCATCATGACAGTTATTATAAACAATTTGCAAAAAGCACTACAAACAATTCCACTATTTTTATAATCTTAGGAAATATTCAGAATACACTCAAGATAATTCATACTTATAATTGAAATATATTATTTATTTGATAGTCAACTAACAACTTAAAAACTAATAAACGGGCTTACATTTATTATTTATAGATTTGTATTCAAGTTAAGATAAAAAATGAAAATAAAAATATTTCACTTTTGGCCAGGTTTATAGACCAAATAAATTCCCTATGTGTTGGAGCGGCGTTTGATATGGTTAGGTTAGTGAATCAGGTAAATTTCCTTAATTAACTACTTCGAACCCTGCTCGCATCTTCTGAAAAAGCCATATAACAATACACGGCATATACGCAAAGTTACGCATCACGTGTATTGTTATATGGCTTCTTTTCTGGAGATGCGAGATGAGCGATATGTGGTCAAGAATAGGTCCCCAGAGACGGCGCTGGTTGCCGGAAAGCAGAAACTCCGCCTCCACTATGTTCGTACCCATAGAATAAGTAACGCGTAAAAAATTTCGTCGGTGTCCGCACAGTGATGCCAAATCTGAGAATTGTTCACCCAATTTAGAGTAAAAAAATAATTATATTGATTGTATTTTTATTTTTATTATTTGTCAATTTTTACCTGCCCTGCTTTGATTTGCACCGCCGCGCCGCACATACGGCAAAATGCTATGTTTAGCTTGACAAAAAATCGAAATTACAAATTTTTTTTTTTCGTATGTTCATCCACTCACTGTTGTTCTTGTATTAAATCCGTGGACCTAATTTTAAATGTTATAATTTTTTTTTTTCTAAGCAACTATAATTTGGTATGGGCGCTGCCGAAAGTTGATGGAGTCCGCAGTTTCTGGGAGACCCTTTGCACAACGTGGAGCGCAAAAGTGCTCATTTACACATACCTAGCTTTACACACAGCCATTTGAAAATTAATTATCGTTATGGACAATATAGCTACAGACATCTAGTACAATTAAATAACATCAATGTAATAAATTTGAACTGTTTTGAATGTAGATAAAATATATTTTAAACACACTATTTTGTGTTTATTAGCCTGTTTATTATTACCCATACCAACAGGTATGGTAGGCTATTAAGATCGGCAAAAAAAAGTTTTTTTAATTATAATGAATAAATAAATGACCTTAAATACAAAAATATTTTCATGGTGTCTGTCTGTTCGTCTGTAACACGATAACTCTCAAAACCGCTAAACCGGTTTTAACCAAATTTGCAACAAAATAATGTGGCGCCCGAGTAGAATCTGGCCATTAGTTTTGGTGGGGTGGGTGGTTGGTAAGAGGGTATGGGAGGGGGCTAAAAATTTTAAAAAATCGTAACCCAAAAATTAAGCAGTGCTAGCGAAACGCGGTTTTTCAATTTTAAGATTAGGAATAATATTTGCAACAAAATTTGTAATAACTTCAAAATCAATCAAAGTCGTAGTTTTGAGATATTCCCTGTGTTTCCGTTGTCCGTTTTGAGAAGATCCATGTGGAGAACTCCAAACTCCCATCGGACGCGACCCCAGGTGGCGGATAGGGAAATAACCGCGGACCAAAATTGAAAAAATTCCTTTACTTTGAAACTAAAAGAACTGCCTACCAACTTTTTATTAACATATTTTAGTATGGGCGGCTATACGTGCCCCCCGGCGCCAATTTTTTTTTATAATTTTGTTTTCATAACGAGTTTTAGTAATGAGTTCCACGGAGTTACGCTTTTAATTTATCAAAATTAAAATCCCTAATATATGTTGATTCAGATATAAAAAATTCAGCTTTCCCAAATTTACCCTTTTTTGAAATATATATTATCTGCAGAGTCGCACTGATTGCTATACCAGTCTTGTAAAATCAAGAAATTATTTTTTAGTTTTAAGAAGACAGATATTCTAAATTATGAATTTCTAAGTATATTACAAGCTTTTTTTTTCATATATTATTAACAGTAGAAAAAAATTAAAATGGCTGTGCTGGGTGTAAATGACACTCTCTTGCGCTCCGCGAAAGGTGCGAAGTACATTAATTTTCGGTAACGCTTGCACTACTCTAGTTGAATGAAAAATGTTTATAATATTTAAAAGTAGCCCTACAAATATAATAAGAAAATCAATGTGTGGATAAATATATAAAAAAAAATTAATTTGGATTTTTGTCAAGCTAAACATAGCATTTTGCCGTGTGTGCGCCGCCACTGATACAGTGCGATCAAAAACTATACGTATACTATAGTTTTTGTCTTTTGCCTGACACTCAATGCGAAACCGGCAACTCTAATCCTCCTTCGGAGTCGTAGTGTTGCTGGGTAAAGCATTTCTTATCAGGTAAAAGTATTATTCGGTAATCCCGAAACATCTTGTGGTATTACATTCGATAATTACAAAAGACCTATTTTTTAAGTTTTTTAAAACATCCTGTAACTTTAAAACTATGCATTTCCGCACCTATGTTTATAAGGAACTTTTTCTCATATTTTTTGATGAGGAATCAATGAGCGCTTATTTAACACTTTGGCCAGTTAATGACATTAGGTTGCTATTAGACTTGGATTAATGCAAATTAAAAAAATTGTGTTTATCTCATCAAGGAGACTGAAATCAACAAAATATCAAGAGACAAGTTTTACTCAGAATTAAACGGCCTAACTGTGCTAACAAGAGAAAAAGTCAGTGGTACACGTTTTTTTTAGAAAAATATTCCAGTGATAACTCACAAGCACGTCCCTGGTGAACCTGTCGACACTTTTTTAGCACTAAAATATGTAGCACTTATAGTAAATTTTATCCTCAAAATTCCATTTGAAATCACTAAAAGTATTTGAAAGAAAATTATAAATAAAAAAAAAGACTAACCCCGGTGGCTAAGAAACAAAGCAGATTCGGACCTTAGTTGATATGAATAATAAATCTTATTTTTATGTGAGAATCTCCCACGAGACATGGCGTATGTTTTTTGAAAGTGTTGGATTCTATCCCTTCCTCCCATCCTTTACTCGAAAACCTTAGTGGGTAATGTAGCCATCAGTCGAATACGCAGCGTGACGAGAGAGTGACAAGATCGGCCGAGTACACAGTGTACACCCTCCAAGCGCGCGCGCTATCCCTCAAGTGTTTGTTCAAGCAAAAATCAACAGGTACGAGTCCAGAACGGGAATAAAGGCGGTGAGTGGCCACAGTCCTGATACATTAACTCACCCCAATGAACTGAGCCCCTTAATTCTCGCCCGTAATAGAAAGTTATGACCCTGTAGTTTTATATAGTTTATCAGATCGTTGTAGCATTGAATTTCTTGCAAATGCTCTTTGCCCAGGGTGTCTTGTATCAATATAAAAAATCTTACTTGATAATGCAAACAAATAGAGTACATTTGGTGTTTCAGTTTTGGTTACCGAGTCAAAATTGCTTAACACAAACCCTAATAAATCTCGTTAGATCTATTGGGATATCTGATGGAAAGACTCTCGTTTCTTCTTTCCTAGAAATTGAAAGATTTATACAATCATTAACAATTACTTAGCGACCTCTACTTGAACATTTGGGAAAAATAATATAGTAGGAAAAGGCATCCATAGTATATTCCCAAGGTAGGATATTTATATGTCTCCATCTATCCCTTCTGAATTGAAGATTTTTTACGAAGGATAACTTTCTAGCTAAGGTCAAAAATATATAAGAAATCTCCATTACAATAAGAACATTGTTTGGAATAGTACATTACTAATACAGACTAAAATGATAAAAAACGTTAGTTTTATTAATACATATTATTTGATATTTCCTACCTTCCCTCATTTAATACAACATCTAAAAAAGTTTTTGCTAGTTAATTCTTTTAACATATATAGGTTTGGATCTTGAATAGTTTTATTAAAGTGATAAGATCGAGCAGTAACTGAAGTAATGTCTGAAATTGTATCTGTGGAACGTATTAACGTATTATTTGTAAAGTTCCTAATAAACCTTCTTATATTTGTACTCGTTACAGCATTTTTCATCACATAGTGACTCTCAACTTAAAAAAATTAAAATATTGAAATTGTATCCAAAACTATACATTGATACAAAACAAATTACATACAAGGTGATGCATTAGTGTGGAGGGAAGTCCTGCATCATCGTTGTCGCATATCCCAAAAAATATTTTGTTGTATAACAGTCCCAAAAATGTAATGATAGTTGTAAAAGTTTTTCAAATGTCAGCACCCATTTTTCTGAACAGAATTGGCATACAATTCCTGCATATATTACACTATTTTTGTTTGGTGTCTACACATGCCGTAAGTTGCCATGCTATTTGTTTCATTTACTAAAAGTTTTGATTAGAAATAGTATATCTGAAAACTAACAAACGCGTCAGCGATGGCTATAAAATGAAGATCGCTGTCGTTTTATATGTAAAATTGTATGGGAAATGTCATCGACTGTCATTTCCAAGCCATCTGGACGCCGGTTTTTTTTTTCGATCATGCGATATACATTGGTAGATGTTAAACTTAAACAACTTACTTTATTAATACTTTCTTTGAGACATCCTGTATAACCAGAATATTTTTAGGATATACATCATTTATATATATATTTTTCATATCTCTCGTTAACAACGACGATATTGAATTTCCCCTGCGCTAATGGGCCACCCTGTATGGATAATATTAGAGATAGGTACCACAACGCGTTTATAATTGACAAAATCGGTAATTTTCCAAATCAAACCTTTTCACACTGACTTGATCACCAAGTCAGTGGATATTATCAGTCTAAAACGTTGTGGGAAATTAAGTCCAAAAATTCTTTTTAGTATATCTTGTAGTATCAGTAATCTTAATAAATGTTTAATCTTAATAAATCTCTTTATAGTACATGATCCGCCTGGTATGATTATTACGCTCATCGTATTTTTGATCAAAACCTAATTTTAATTTACGTATGTATATTTATGAATAGGAGAATTACACAGGGTTATGAAAAAGTTGCCCACATAACTATGTTTAATTAATAATAATAATAACTGATTTTGGAGTGGAACAAACATTACACTCATAAAAAACGCTTTTTTAAATAAAACTTTCACACTTGTTTTGAACTACCCTGTAGAAGTAAAATATTTTCCGTGTAATACATCCTAGTATATACTTCTTTAGTTTGGCATTTATACAAAATTCATAAGTTTTCTTCAGGAGCTTTTTTTTAGATGTCCGACGCACGACGCACTATTGCCGGGCTGGTAGGAAAACTTTGAACCGTGGCAACCTCTATTTGCGGCAAGTTTTGATAGGCACCCTTATAACATCATGTACAATAAACAAACATACCTTTAATATGACATATATATGATACGACAAAGATTTTATAAGCGTAATGTGGTCTCCAAAATCGGTTATTATTATTATTAATTAAACATAGTTGTGCAGCAATTTTTTCATAGGCACCCTGTAAAAAGTGTATTCTCCTATTCATAAATATACGTAAAAATTAGGTATTGACTCGGGTTTTAATTAAAAATACGATGGGCGTAATAATCATGCAGCCGGATCATAGACTATTAGTATTGTCCATTCTAATAAATAAATCATTAATTTTGAATTATCCATTGAATAAAACGATTATCAAAGGGAATGATCCATTGAGTACAAAAGATTAATGGAAGGAGCTATCAACAAACTTACGTGGAACACAATGGGGCTTAATATGTCTGACTTACATAAATTCAGGTTTATCAGTGACGTTCTAATTTTATATAAAACGTGGAACAATAGAAATTCACCACAATATATCAAAACACTTTACTTTTAAAAATGGAGGCGCTTTTCTGCCATGTATAATGTAAGGTAGACTCAATAATTTTGATAGTTTTGTTTTACGCTGTTAATAAATGTTATTAGTTATTAGCAGAGTGTGACAAAAATATATTTCTAATAAGAATATATTTTGTCATAATAATTATTTAATAACAAAAAAATATACCTATTAAAATAGGTTACTGAGTCAAAACCTACCAGATAGGTTACTGAAAAGTTATTAAGTAATTATTTCTGACAAGCAGTAAATAAAAATAAAAATATAAGTAAAAATAGTTTTCTGAATATAACGTATTATAGTATTATATAAAGGGTGTCCCAATATTCCGTAGATACGGAACCACTAAGTATCTGGAACCAAACTAATTTTTTGTTTCTTTAAAAAAAAACGCCATCGCGCATACTTCCTGAAGAAAAAATTTATATTTCCGAATCTGACTCCCAAAAAACGTTTTTTGTCAAGCTATGGAAGATGGAAGGGTATAAAATCTATTATGCTCTAATATCTAGTTGGTGAAAATATGGAAAATTTTATGTTAGTATCACAAATTATATTTGACAATAAGCTTCATAAAAAGCTTAAAAAATAATAATAAATTTAAAAATTGATTAACGTTTGGGTTTATTTTTGATTGATGTCCTCTAAAGGTCAAACGAAACACTTTTCAATAAAGGTAAATTATGTGCAATCAACTTATTTTGATTAAAAAATACGTAGTTGTTCTATGTCCACGGAATATTGGAACTCCCTGTATATTTTGTAAAAATTTAGTAAACACTAGAGGGACCAGTTTACGGCAAGAAAATCTGTCGTCGGTGGAGTTGGAAAATATTTATACTAAAATTTATGTAGGGATGGGGGTAGTTTTCACACTTCCCGTACTTTTTCTTGATTTTTGTAAAAGTAAATTGTTAAAGCACTTAGCAAAACATAAGCATCCAAAATCTCATTCAAATCGGAATAACGGTTCTAATATCCGAAATATTGTGTTTATTTTTTTAAAGTTTGATGCTCTCTAGCGGACAAACGAAGCACATTTGTATAAAGGCAAATTATGTCCAGTGAACTTATTCTGATTCCAAAAATACATAGTAGTTCTATGTCCAACGAATATTGGGACACCCTGTATAGTTATTTGCCAGTGAAAAGTTATTTCCATATTTCATTCCATTTTTGACCAAGATCTACCGCCACGTTGCACAAATAACTATTTTAGGTTTATTTTCTGGAATTTGCAATAATGTAATAGTTAATTTAAGTTCTGACACAATATCCTTCTACCGTGCTGGCAACTCTTACTTTTGGGTCGGTATTTACATGTGTGGAAGTGAATCGCTGAGGGATCTTATTAAGTCGGAGTGAGAAAAATGCGACGGTGTGCTGTTGCAGCGTTGCCACATTCTCAGTGATACAAGTACGCCTTTCCCTGTCTAGTGTAGTAAAATCACGGTCGCTTATTTTTAATTCTTTTTTTTTTCAGGAAGGATGACATAAAATGATTAGATATGTTTCTGGACATCTAAAATCGAGTTATATCGTTAGGACGACCATTCTTTTTATAATGAAAAAAACGTCAGTAATCGTGGTAATTTGAAAACTCAACTTCTTAACATATAACACGCGATAACTCAAAAACTATTTTGGATATTAAACCTTTCTTTTTTTTATTTTGAAGTTAGGGTCTTTGACAAGATGCGCTTATATAGTGCTGCCGACTGAATAGATTCCCGTGAACTAGTCTTTTAATTAGTTCCTCTAGGTCCGGATCCGATAATATACGGATGGCACTCCCCACGCCTGCCTAGCATCAATCGCGTTGGCCGATCCGTACGGAAACTAGTCTTTTATTTAGTTCATCTAGTATCTTTAGGTCCGGATCCAATAACATACGGCTTGCACTCCCCATTCCTGCCTAGCATCGATCACGGACACTAGTCTTTTATTTAGTTCCTCTAGGTCCGGATCCGATAACATACAGCTGGCACTCCCCACTCCTGCCTAGCATCGGGCTACGCGCGCTGGCCGATCCGCCGCCGTCGCGTATTATTTATCGGTCACACTCGATCCCGGAATAGGTCCTGAGGAACTAGTTTTTTGAGAAACCAGGAACTAGTTCCTTTCATTCTGGGGTCGGAATAGTTCATTGCAACTAGTTCGTTCACGAACTACACACATCTATGATGTACACCTTTCCCTAGAATTTTAAGTACTGAATTTCAATTTATAAAATTTATCAATTTATGCTTTCGACTGTGACAAAACTGCCTTGTCCCCTTCCGCGTCTCTTAGCAATGTGCACAGTTACTCGGTTTATTTCATATGCTTGGCAACGTTTTTACTGTTCTCTCTTTGTTCAGTACATTATAAATGCATTGTACTCTTCTTACATACGGAAATCTCGACGCAAACATAAACCTTGCCAGCAGGAGTATATTTACCTTGTATCACTTTGAACAAATTGTGGAAGGAATAATAAATAACACAAAATAAATTAAAAAGCCCAAAATTTCAAATCAATTTCAAATATACCAATTGAAACGCTAAACAAAACTGTGAAAAACGGGGTGTCATGATGCCAGTTCCATCTCTAATGTATGAATACATAAATATTAGACTATTAGACTCTTTCCTTAGTCTTCTTATCCGATTAAATTATCCATAATATAAAATAAGAATATCTCATAATTTTTGAGAGTATAACAAACCACACCTTTTGATGTACAATCACAACACCGCTTTTATCCTTTTTACTAAATAGGTCAAGTCCTAGACGTTCGGCAAAATTATAATAAATTAAACTATTTAGAGCAACAAACTCTAATGTCTGATTTGAACATCCAAGCTTAGCTACAGACAATTCTACAGATTCCAAATTTACTGGCTCAAAAATAGGTTTAAACAGTTTTTCAGCTTCTAGTAAGTTTTTGCATTTATTATTATACTGATTTTTTTTCAGATTCAGCATAGACTTTG